AGCCGGACTGTGTTGCCTCTTGTTTTTGTTGGATTGAAAATGAAAAGTTGTTCTGGGCCACCTGCCGGGCAACGCTACACAGGAACAAGCTGAATCACCTGCAACGCTCAGAGCGCTGCTCTGGGCCAAAGGAAACCCAGTCCTTCAGTTTCATGGGGCTTTCCACTGAAAGATATCCGTAGCAGCCACTTCTGTGTGTTGAGTGTGACCTGGGTCCCGCACAACATGCCACAGCAACCAGTTCAGCTTCTCTCTGCTTGAGATCCTGGTGCAATTACTAGGAGAAATTTGATTTCATCACATAATGAAAAAAATGCATTCTGTGCTTTTGCTTTTACTTTTCTATATTTGTCTTTTTACAGGATTAGTTTAATGGACTTATTTAACAGCAGATTGGCCATGTAGCATTTCTCTACCTGTTTTCCTGCACAACAGCTCTGATTTGTTGTTTAGCCCAGGCTTTGCTCCCAGCAATCTTGGTCACAAAAGCGTCAGTGCTGATATAAACTCTGTATTAACGATTTCCTAAAAGAATACTATCAGAGTTATTTAAAACAGCTGGCATCGTTTTTTTTTCCCCACAGGGAGTTGAAACACATTTTAATAAGGACCGGAAACGACGTACACTATTGTCCATGCAAAAAGATTCTACTGGGATGACATCAGGATCCTCACGTGCATCGCAGCTTTACTCTGATCCAATAGACAACAAATATCTGCAGGAGATCACCTTTCTCTTAACCACAGAATATTTTCCTTGGACACCCAAGCTACTTACTGGCTTTGGGTTGGTGTGTGCATGTGTAATGATCTTTTGTAAGAACACAAACAGTTTGAAAAGCTGTTCCGTTTTTCATTTGCACAGTGCTTTCTTAGGGGTGCACGTGATGAGAAGCAAACACTGAGAAATGAGATCTGTATAAAAGAAATTTATCCATTTGCATTAAGTGATAAATGGCTTCCTATTAAATGTGGCCAGAGTGAACTTCTTAACCAGACATATCCCTTCTTCTATTCAGCATCCACATGAATTGCAAGAATCAGAGAAAGTGTGAGGGCTGAAAGGCTCGGCCCACCCTCCTGCTCCAAGCTAAGGTGGGGTGCCCAAGGGCTTCTCCAGCCATGCCCTGAAAGCCTTGAAGGTTAGAAATCCCACTCTACTACTTTGCCCTCCGTCCAGCAGCTCAGTGTCGTCTTTTTCACTTGTATCCAACTGGAAACTCCCTCCTTTCTCAAGAAGGATTAGTTCTCAAGGGACTAGGGGTTTTTTTTTAAGATACAGGTTTTCTTGTGTCTGTTTAATAAAACTAAATCCGTCATGGGAACTCCGTGCTTCCTCCCGAGGTGTCTATCATTCTTCAACCATGGCAAATACATTTTTAGACAACAAGGACAGTGGTCCCTGGGATTTCCAAGTAAGCCTTTTTTAGAGGCACAAGATGTCCATGTCACAGCACTCTGCTCAAGGCAAGAGATGGCCATTTTAAGATGCAGCTGTTGAAAAATACAGAGGTTGCATTTCAGAAAGATGCCACCACATTGAGGCTGGTCTGCACGAGAGAAATGGTTTACTCTAGCTCCTCCAGGCTGCCCCAAAACCACACTCATAAAAGAGAGGATGTTCTTACAACTGGTAATTTCCATGGAAAATCAGTATTCCGTTACTGATGGGTAAGATTACAGAAGGGTAAGCTAAAAATATGGCAATGAAACTGATAAGATTTTCCCCTTTTATCCTTGTCTGCATTTTGATGTGCATGGGACACAAACACAAGGATTGATTCAGAATGGGATAGTCGTGACTTGTGTCCAGTGATTTACTTGGGGATGTTTTCCTTGCAGAAATGAGCTCTTGGGATTGGAGATTCTCTCATTCATTAACATCCCCAGAAGGACTCAGCTGTGGGGCGCAGAGTGGTGGTGGTGAGGTGAGAAATGCATTATTTCCTGAGGAACAACTTTGTTCCATTTGTAGGTGAAGGCAGTGATGTGCTTATCAGGCTGTCTGTCAAACCATCAGATGCCTTATCGAGCCAAGCACGTGGAAGCAGTGCTGCTTGTTGTTGATTCTGGCTAACAGTGGTGCTTAGAACTGCAGCACCAGACCTTGTTCCCAGAGCAAGGTCAGTCAGCTGGCATCTTCCAGCAGTGCCACGTGTAGGCTGAGTGACCCCTGCCTGGCCATTCACAAGATGTTCCTACCCCGAACCCTCTAAGCTTACTCATTCCCTTCCACTTTCTCTTCTCTTTCTTGGGCAAGCGGCAGGGAGATTTGGTTCCCAGTAGGTTTCCACTCCCTCCTGGGAGCCAGAGGATGCTGTAAGGAGTGTGTCTATCTGGGTGGCATGAAGCCCACCAGATAAAGCTGTAGAGTCAGTCTGCTGTGCCCAGAGAGTGTAGGAAACAGTGGGTCTCTTGCCCAGTGGCTCTAGGGTCTGTACTGGGCTGATATTTGCACAGGCTGCCCAAGGAGGTGGTGGAGTCACCATCCCTGCAAGTGTTCAAGAAATGTGTAGATGTGGCACTGAGGGACATGGTTAGTGGGCAGAGTTGGTGGTGGGTGGATGGTTGGACTAGATGATCTTAGAGGTCTTTTCCAAACCTAATGATTTCTCTGATTCTAACTATTCCAGAGATAGCTTCATCTCCCTCCAGGCATCCTAACTTGCTCAGATCTTCCTGAGCTGGTCTCCTAGTGCCATCTGCTGCCTCATCCCTACTCTGTTGTAGGCTGGCGACTTCCTCACCCGCACCATATTAGGATGGTTAGCATCACACTCCTCATCCTGGAAGCCCAGACCCTCTCAGCAAGCCCATTGGGGTTCAGTGGGGTCTTTCTGTGGGCATGCTGTAGCTGATGAAAAAATGGGATCTCCCTCTGGTAACTTAACACAGAATGACTTTGTCTGAAGTGCCTACACTTTGCCCATCCCAACGTGAAGAGAAAGGTGCAGAGCAAAATCCAGATGTGTTTCATCTGCTATTACCGGCTGTAACCTCCTCCTAAGCTGCTGCTTGGGAAACCATTCTGGATCTGTGTGCTCGGGCCTTGGATGCCACCTCCTGGCTTTCCCACTGTACTGTGCAGCCCGTCTCAAAGCACGCTGCAACAAGCCTTCCTCGTTCAGAGCAGCCTCTGTTTCCTGAGGCTCTGACCTGAGCTAGTTCCCCCATATGATGACTTCCAGCTGTTGTGCAATTGTTCCAACACACTTGGAGCACACCTGTGTCTTTTGTATGTCACCTGTGTCTTTTTCTGCTCCCTCTTTGGGATATTTGATTACTGATTCCAAGTGCCTGAAGGTGGATTTGGGGAATCATTTCAGAAGCTGGGAGTGATAGCAAATCAGAGGGATTTGCTGAGGTCTGATCAGTAGAAACTCCTACAGAGTTCAGCTTTGCGGGCAGCCACCTGGGAAAAAGGTCACCAGCAGGACTGGGAAAAGCAACACAGAGCTCAAGTTGGAGCCACTTGTCCTCTCCTCACAGATGCACAATTGTCCTCCAGCCTGAGGTCACATCTTCAACCGTGGAAGACCTCAGCCTGAGAGAGAAGGGATGCTCTGGGGATGGAGGGCCATAGCAGAGGCCCTTCTGCCTGCGCTGCCGCTGCAGACCAGCAGATGGAAGCTGCTGGGCTTTGCAGGAGCCATTTTAATCATCTGCAGAAGTTGTCTGGATTGCTTTCATAAACAAGCATAGGATGAAGGTCCCTGATCCTGCAGAGGTCCTGGTGGGACCAAAAGAGACTCGCCTCCACGGGATGCCCTGATCTCTGAGCTCCGTGCTCCAGCTGGTCCTGGACAAAGACAGGCATTAAGCACTTGGTCTCCTGGCATTCAGCTCCCATTTCAAGCAGGGACTGAGTTTGGCCTCTGGGTTTCCTGCTGGCTTCCCTTGTTTGCTGCATGCCCAACCTGTCCAAACAGGGGCTGGGATCCATATCTGTCTACGGATCTACAGACATCTATGTATAGACATAGATGTGTACATAGATACCTATATAGTAACAGATGTACCTCTAGAAATAGATGTATCTACAGACACCTACAAGGAGAGATATACACATATACAGACAGAGACACACAGATCTATTGGTAGATATGGATGAGTGGATAGATACATGTTTAATACAGACGTATGGATACATAGGAACCTCACCCACAGCCGTTCCCTGCCCCAGGAGCCCCTTTGCATGGTGACGATCAGCCCTGGGAGGCAGTCAGGGTCAAAGCAGGACCGTGGCTCTGCACCCCTTACACTACAGCTGCCCACAGTGGCACTGGGTTGGGGGAACAGCAGGGACCCTCAGCGCAGCCATGACCTACTTCAGCTCCGCTGCGCCCGCTCCCGGTGTAAAAGCTTAATAGAGCCAAGCATCAATTATTCATCACCTGGCCATGTTAATGCATGTGCTAAAGGCCTCTTTTTTGTTGTTTTTTTTTTGTTGGTTTTTTTTTTTTTAACGACAAAAAAAATCTCCTCCATAATTTAAAGCCTCACACGCTCCTGTCACTGGGGATGCTCTCAGAGGCGCTTCTGCTCCAGTGAACAGCAGGCAGGAAGCAGGAGGGGACCCACAGCCCCACCGCTGCACCCTATGCCAGCTCTCATCCTGCACCACAGGGAAGATAGGGAGACCCCACACCCTTGGCTGCGCCCAGACCACCACCCCCATGGGACACGCAGCACCCAAGGGCCCAGCACTGGGGTGGAAGGGCAGGCGGAGATGAGGGCAGAGCAGCCGCTTGCTCACGCAGCCATGAAGGAGCTGGGCCACGCCGCAGCTCCAGCACGCTTTGCCTTCTATGGACATCTCTGCTGCACAAGGAGCAGTGCTGGCACGGATGTGAGGCCACCCCAGGCCCAGGGGAGGCAGGGGGAGGGAAACAAAACACCCAAAAGCAGAGAGCCTTCCTGGCAAAGAGCCCCATGTCCTCCTCAGGGGGGAGCCCCACGCCTCCCCCAGCCCCACAAGAACACAGCACACAGCAGCAGAGTCACAGCAGCCTCTGGGTATATATATTTTTTTCTTTTGTTGCATTTCATATATTATCCAGTTTCACATTCTCATAGGATCAGCAAGTATAGAGCAACTTATTCTCAAATCTTTTAATACAAGCGAGACAGCCATGGTCATATAATACTTAAAGCACTTCAATACCAAGCAATAAGATGCTAAAACAAAAATTGCACAATTTCTCATTTACGATGCCTAACTGAATCATTAGTACAGAAGACAACCCTTCTCTTTTCAAGCTTTTAACTAAACATTAACTTATCTTACAGGATTACAATTTCTCTTTTAATAATAATAATAATAATAATAATTAATTGCACACAAACACACAAGAAATTCTTTATGATGCATAAATATTTCCTTATTACACATGGTACAAAAATACTCGTACTTTTTTTTTTGTTCGGTATTCCCATAAGGACGGCTGATTATTTGGCAGGACTGGATGCTCTCCAATCAGAAGGATGTGGAAAAAAAGGGGAAGAAAAATAAAAGAGGTTAGATAGCTTACAGCCTTTCTATATATAGAAGTCTGAAAAAAAAAAAAAAAATAATATAATAACCCTGATTTTAAAACCGGAGGATGGATGAGAACAGAAACCCAGTGCATCGTACTTGGAGGAAAGGGGGAAAAAAAAAAAAAAAAGGAAAAAAAAAAAAAAGAAAAAACATTTTTCAAATTCTTCTGGTCGTACTGGGAAGGGGGAGGGCGGAGGTGGGGAAGGGGTGAGGCAAGGACAGTTCGTGTTTCTCAGAGCCAAGTCTTCACCGACGCAAGATGAAAACCTCGATGGATCAGTCCGTAGGACCTGTTGCTAACGGTTACACAAACGCTAGAACAAACAAACTTACACTCACACATACACAAGTTAAGTGTTTTAATTCATGCCAGAAAACATGCAAAACCCGATTTGCCTTTCGTTTCCTTCAGCCGAGCTCGGGACCAAGCCCTCGCCGGGTGTCGGCGCAGCCCGGTGGTGAAGCTCAGCATGGACAGATGGATGGAGGGACGGAGGGATGGAGGCGGCGTGCGGCGGCTTCACAGTCCGGAGGGGGACGCGCCGGGGCCGGGCGCTTCGTCCGCTGGCCGCAAACCAAAGCGAGAGGTGGGAGCCATCATCCCTGGCACGTCCCTCCACGGAGAGGCAGGGAGGAGGAACAGGAGCCCAGGAGAGATGCTGTGGAAAAGAGGATGGTGAGCAGGGCTGGTAGGATCTGTGGCCCGCCCCGCTGTCCCTGTGCCCGCCGAGGTGGATCTGATCCCGCTGCCCATCAAGCAAAGCCAACTTTATCCTACATGAGGTGTATGGGGTGGGTAACATCCTGTCCTGCCCCCCCCACAGGAGCTCAGGGAGCCCAAGGACAGACAAGACAAGGCTCCAGGAGTAATTAGTTACTTACTAACAAACTAACAAAACTGACGAGACTTCCATCCTTGCTGGGTAGCTTCAGAAGGAGGATACCAGCGCATCTGGAAAAAAAGAAAGCCACGCCAGAGGTCCGTGATCCAGGATTATTTCAACCAGAGCCCAGCTCCTTTAGGCCACCCGTGAGCAGAGATGGCTCCAGTACTGGAAAGGAGGCACCAGGATGTACCCCAAAGTAGTGCTCTAAGTGCTGGCACCACCCAGCCCTGCGCTGGTGCACGGACAGATTGAGGCTCACCAGGCACCAGGACAGGTCCTCCCTTAAGAAGGGCAAAAGGATCCCACACACCTGAAGGGAGCTAGCTCCCCATCCCAGGGCTTGTCTCAACATCCCAAGTACCGTTCCATAACCAGCAGACAGCATCAAAATTCACACCCAGCTCACTACAATACATTGAGCAACACCATCCAGGCTGTTTGTGAAGCTTGTCACTTTGGAGGTGTGCAGAAAGGGACAAATCCCCCAGAGACACTCACACTCTCCCAAACATCCCATATTTACAGCTTTTCCTCCATTCAGGCTCAGACAGGGCAGAGGAAGCTCACACCAGGCAGCCATCACTGCTAGATGGTGACCAGTCTGCCCTCGGCCAGCAAGAGAGATGTCACAAGCCAACACACTTAAACCAGAACTCTTCCACTTGACTCAAGTAAAACCTACCTCTTTCAACACAGAAAAGACCCAAAGAGCTTCTTTAAAAACTAACACAACCATCAGAAGAGATTCTGGACAAACTATGCAATGGAGACAAGAGGCAGAGCTATGAGCCAGCAGGACTTGGAGGCTTCCCCAAGCACCTCTACTGCCCAGCGCTGCTCTGCGACAAGGAAGGAACCAACAAGCAGACATAGGAACAATAACCAAAGCAAGCCCTATATAGGGACAATGGGCAAGGTCTTTTCAAATGCAAGCCCCATCTGGAGTGAAGAATGCCACAGCTGCTAAAATGAATGCTTTGGTAGTAGAGGCTTCATGGTTCATCCAACTTGGAGGTGGCTATCTACTACTGTCATGTCATCGATGATCAGCATCTGGCATTGCCACAGGCTGTAAGCAGGCAGTAGACGTGCCAGGTTGCTCTCCAACATATTTGAGAAGTTGCTGCCGTCAGGTGAAGTCCCCAGTGAAAAAGAGTATCACTCCCAGTTATAAGAAAGGGAGGAAGGTAGGAAGGAAGAAAGATCTGGGGAACTAAAGATCTGGGGAACTACATGCCAGTGAGCTTCACCTCTGTGCCAAGGAAAGTCAAGGAACAAATCCTTCTGGAAGAAATGTTAAGGTACACACAAGCAGAATAGGTGATCCCACACAACCAGCAAGGCTTCACTAAGGGCAGGTCAAACCCGACCCAGATGGCAGCCTTCTGTGATGGCAAGACATCATTGGTGGACAAGGGGAAGGCAATGGATGCCATCTATCCAGACTTGTGCATGGCATTAGGCACGGTCCTGCCCCACATCCTCATCTCTAAGTTGGAGAGAGATGGGTTTGATGGCTAGCCTATTTAACAGATAAGGAATAAGTTGGATGGTTGCAGCCAGTTAGTGACGAGCTGTGTCCCCCAGGGGTCTGTCTCAGAACTGCTGCTGTTCACATCGTCATCAGCAACACAGATGATGGCATTGAGTTTGCGGATGGCACTGAGCCGAGCGCTGCGCTGGATACGACAGGAGGAAGGGATGCCATCCAGAGGGAGCTGGGCGGGCTCACAGAGCGGGACCACGTGAACCAGGGAGGTTCAGCAAGGCCAAGCCGGGGTGCCGCACTTGGGTCGGGGCAATCCCAGCTGTGAGCACAGATGGGAGAAGGTCTCACGAGAGCAGCGCTGCGGAGAAGGACTCGGTGGCTCTGGTGGATGAAAGCCACAGACGAGGCAGCAGCGTCCATCGGGGGCCGGAAAGCCACCGGCATCCTGGGCCGCACCAACAGAGGGGTGGCAGCGGCAGGGAGGGGACCGTCCCCTCTGCTCTGCCCTCGTGAGGCCCCAGCTGCGGTGCTGCGCCCAGGCCTGGGGCCCCCAGCGCAGGAAGGGTGCGGAGCTGCTGGAGCGGGGCAGAGGAGGCACGGAGATGCTGCCAGGGCTGCAGCACCTCTGTATGGAGACGGCTGAGGAGCTGGGGGTGTTCAGCCTGGGCAAGAGAAGGCTGAGGGCCCACAGCAGTGATGGAAGAGTGCTGGAACTCTCTGGTCCCTTCAAATTTAAGCCACCAGGAAGGCCACTCTGGGTTAAAATAGCAGCTGGCAATGCCAGGGAACAATGGACGGCTGTTCTCTAAGCACCTTCACACTGCTCTATAGTACACTGGGTCGTGCGGCAGCAGTCCTGCTGCAAAGTCATCCAGCAGTCCTGTACTTGTGCACAAGACCTCCACAGGACATCCACAGGTCTTCAGAGGAGACAGAGCTGAAGACTCATTTACTGAGAGCTAGTGATGGCCTTAGCACTGTACTCCAAGCCAGACACATCCCTGTTCTAACCCTACTTCCTCTGCCCCTGGAAGAAGGAGAGTTCTGTCACCTGATAGAAAGGCCAGAGGCTTCATAATGAAAACACAGACAGCAAGTGCCAGGACCTTGAGACAGCAGCCTCCTGCCAGGAAAGGACACCAAGGTCACACCTCCCAGAAAACACAGCTGCCTGTGACAGCCGCATCCTCCTTCCACCAGCACAAGACCTGGGAAGCCAGAAACTGAACAGCCCCAAGGCAGAGCGGGAGAGCCGAGATCCTTCTTGCGATGCTTCCCAAGGGATAGCCCTGCCAGTTCCATCAGCTACGCAGAGCTGCTGGATCCCAGCTATCCAAACCCTACAGCTGGGAGGTGCTTGCTCAGCACAGCCACATCTCCCCATCCAGCACTCCTCCCCTCGACAGCTGGAAGCAGTTTCCTCCTGCCCTGAAGCAACAGGAAACTCCCCCTTCCTTCACAAGGCCACGCACTTAACCCAGCAGCAGCCGCCATCCCACGCACCCGGCCCTTGGCGTGAGCAGCAAGGCAGTGGGGCACGTGCACCCAGCCCAGCCTCCAGCCATGTCCCCAAACCTGCAGGCTCATCTCTGCTTTCCTCAGGAGCCACCTCCTGCCCCAGATGTGCACTCCAAAGCTTCTAGCACCTTTGTTAGCCAACAGAAATCCCATCCTCCTTCTGAAGAATGGGATCATCTAGCCAAGATGACATGCTCTTTAAGAAAACAGAGCCTTTGACAGTGCCAGTTTCTATTATTATCTTAACATCCCTCAAAATGCCTTGCTTTTCCCAGGCACTGGAAGCAGATTGCTCTTGGAGCTGTCTGGAAGGAATGCAGCTAGGCAAGAGGATCTGCAGGGCTGTCTCCAGTGGGCCTCAAGGCAGCAGGTCCTGCCAATACAGCCATCAAGGATGGGAGCTGAGAAAGAGTGGATGGGGCTATCCAAAACTGGGATGGGAAAGCAGAGCAAGAGAGGCTTTTACTGGAAGACACACCATTGCTTCTGGAGCTGTATTAGCTCACAGCTGGAAAGGAGTCTGATGTCAACTTGCATTTCTCTTGCTTGCCTTCTCTATGGAAGTCCTGCCACCTCCCCGCTGTCAGAAAGCCCTCCCTACACAGGACAGGACAAATCAGCCCTTCCTTGTGTTTCTGGGAGCCGGTAAGACCCCAGCAGCATGTTCCAAAGCTGGAAACACAGCAGATGGCAGCTGACCCACAGCAGGAAAGGTCAGTCAGGAAGGCACACCACAAGCACTACCATCGCCCAGCAGCACTCTCCAGATACCTGTTCCCAGTCCCAGCAGCAGGCATCTCACTCACACCTCCTGCTTCCAGGGCCCTGAGCTGAGGAGGCAAACAGGCAAACCCTTGCACAATGTGTAAGACCTAAGTAGCTCAGCCCAGCACCAAGGAAATCTCAGTGGAGTTGAAGCAAGCACTCCCTAGCCAGCTAGAAAGCAGCACATCCTATGCTGTAAGCATGCAGAAGAAGATAGGATCCATTCCTATTGCTCAGAAGGAGGACTTCAGGAAGCATCCAGTGCCTTGAACCACTCAGCTTCGAGGCAGCTCACAGACCTCAGCTTGCAGGTTGGGAAGTCACTGCTGATGGCATCTTGGTCCAAGTCACTCATCCAGTGATGCTGGGAGAACGGGTGCTCCCAAGGAACAGAGAGCATCTCACATCTGTTTTTTTTCTGCTAAAAAGAAATAGCTCGCTCGGGGAGAGCCTGCCTTGGTCAGCCTGTGCCAGCACTAAGCCACTGGAGCTTGGGCAAACACCACAGCCATGGAAGTCTTGGAGAATGCTTCACACTTTTAAGGACATATGCCCTGAAAAAATAATCCTGATGAGTCCTATGTGACAGCCCCAGTGAACAGGCAACAAGTTACAAAACAACACACACTGTTTCCAGCCGTTTCTGCTGTTTTCTGCTGTTTCCAGCCACCCACCCCAGGAAAGTCCATCAGCCACCACAATGTGAAGTGCAGGAGATCTTGCAGAGGAGACCCCAAGGCTGTGCCAAAACTCAGTGCTACACCGAAGCAGGATCCTCATGGCCCTACAGGTCATTGGACTGTCCACTGCTCCAAGATTACCAGGTTAGTGGCACCCAGATGATCCCACCTCAGCAAACAGCAGCATCCCAACAGGAGGCAGGGTCTTGAAGAACAACACAGCATCTGAGCTCACCCTGCACTCCCAGTTATTTAAGGACAGCAGCAGGTCACAGCTGTAGGCACCAGCCTTATGCCCAGCCACTCCACAGCTCAGAGACATCCAGCCTGTCTCAAACAAGCTCACGCAGCTTCCCAGAAGGAAAAGTTGGAGAATTAGGCAGAGCACTGACCTCCCCTTCCATCGATGGGCTCTGCCTCAGCTTGGTGTTGGGAAGCCTTTCAGTCCTGCTAGCCTTTGCCATGAAGCAGAGCTTGATTGCTCCTTCCACTCCCTTGGGCTGATCCCAGATTCAGAATCCTGCCCTCACCACCTCTACCAAAGGATGCTCCTCCAAACCATGTTTCTACTGCTGGCAACAGCCTGGAGACTGTGGGGGCACCTTGGGCAGCCAACCCACCAAGATGGGCAGCTGGAAGCTTCCATTCCATGATCTGCTCCCTGCCTTGGGAGCATCAGCCACAGCCTTCTAGGTCCTGGCTACTCAGCCTGGTCTTCTCCATGTACCATGTAGTGACTACCACCAGTTTCATCCACTCGTCTACCCAATTCCCAAAGAAAGTCCAGCCCTCAGGGTTGCAGAGGCATCTTGGAAGCATCTCTTTACAGAGGTGCACTGATAGCATGATAGGAGCCCCATTGTCTCCTACAGCACACCCAAAGCCTTAGAGATGCTCCAGAACACATGGTTTCACAGCAGAAGCACAGTGCAGTCTAACACAATCACACAGATGCTAGCTGAAACATTTCGTTGGGTCTAAAGGGCTCAAGACAAACTGCATCCTGGTTTCCATCTCTGTACCAATTCCCCCTCTTCCCAACTCAGCACATCTGTGCACCCCAGAGTCTTCCAAGGACAAAGGCAGACCTGGGCCCCCATCTTGGTGACTGCTCTCCCCAGTATCACTACCCACCACAAGAAGCAGCGATCCTGGACTCAATTCCTTCACTTAGAGCCAAACATAGCAACCATTCTCCCACATTCCCTTTTCCCATCCTCCCGGTCTCCTACACTGCTCCTCTTCCATCCCCAATCAGATGCCCTTCCGTACAGCTCACAAGAGCCGCAGCCTGGCTGTGGTTTCAGGCCGCAAAGAGAAGACAAGCTCCAGGCAGGAACTTGCTCCATTTCCAGTAACTGGAGAGAAAGAGGTGAGTTTAGACCCACAACTAAGGGCAGGGTCTGTCCCGATATGCAATTCTGGAATAAAGTGACCGCCAAGTGCTGTTGTCTAAAGGTGCCCGGTAGAATTTAGTTGTGTGCTATCGCTACCACGTCACTCACCTCCCCCATTGTGTGCTAGGAGTGAGGTCAAGGTGTATCTCTGGTCGCCCTTAAAAGGTTGTGGATGGGGAGAAACCAGGTTTCTGTCACACCAAGTGGCAGGGTCATCCCTGCCCCAGCTCAACCGGGCTGCTCCCCTCCCACCAGCAGGACCTGGCCAAGCCTGGCTCAGCTGGGAGGAGTTGATGTAAGATGGTGCCATGCTGTGTGCGCCATGTCATGTGCTGCCAAGTTGGAGATGTGGGTTAGAAAGAAAGCCTGGTATCTCATTCCCCAGGCTCTGGTGGGTGGGTAGCGTGAGGCCCATGCACTGGGTGGGCAAGGAAATATGGGCTACAGAGATGGGCAGAAGCTTGCAAATCCCATGGTGCATCTTGGAGGATAGATGGTTACCTTACCAGTCTTTCCAAACGGGGCTGCCGTCATGCTTAACACTTCTAGGAATGGAGCTGTAGCACAGCCACTCCACTAGCTGCAATAAGGCATCACTAGGGTGTCCCATCTCCAGGGACAGCTCTGAGCTTCAGGGCTAGCCTGCGCTGGCATCATGGCTGGAGTTCACTAGGGACATCAAAGGAGGGATTTGAGAGAGGGTGGGAGGGAGGGAAGGCACATGGGACAGTCTTAAAGTCAGTGGAATCCCCGCACGTAGAGGCTTTTAGCAGTGCTGGCTCAGGTCACAGTCACACCTATGGCAGCCTGGTGCCTGGAGGGACCCCATCTCCATGGCACAGCAGCTCAGCAGTGCCGGAACAGCAGTCATCCTGCTCTTCTGCAAGCGGCTCACTGAGAGCTCCTGGCAAATGAGCCGAGGCCAGACCAGCCTCCTGCCATCTCCTGCCAGCCCTCTGGCACGACAGACACCTACTCACCTACTTTCTACCAGGCTTGAACACAGAGCTTGAGACTATGAGTGCTTCAAGTTTTAACCTTTTGCACCAAGCTCTCTGTTCAGCTACTGCCTCCAACTACGTGCTCCCTGCAGTGCTGATGGCTCGTGGAGCTGCTCCAGCCATCCCCATAAACATCCTCCAGCCAAGAGGAATCCCAGGAGGAGGAGCTACTGCTGTCCTAGAGAACAGCTCGCGTGTCCACCACCGCCAAGCCCTACCAGTGAGAACGAGGGCTCAGCACACCAAAACCAAGGTTACAGCTTTTAGCCCAGTTTGAGAGCAAAAGTCACCTCACACTGCCTTAACTCCACCCTGCCTCAGCTCTGCAAGGAAAAGGGCTCCAGCCTAGAGATCAGGCAGCTCCAAGCAGCCAATTTAAGTAATGTTTAACCCCATAAAACTTTATTGGTGATGTATGCTGCACCAGAATGTCCCCCTGTGAGATCACCGCCAACCTCAAGCACAGTGCAGCAAGGAGCAGCTGTAACTGCTCAGCCAGCCCAGCCACTCTTCTTCATCAGAGCCACAGCTCAGAAGGGACACACTGACTCCCCAGGCCTTATGGGAACATCATCCATTATGGACTTGCTTGGGCAGGGCATCCCATGTCCTTCCAGTATCTCCCTGGAGCCAGAGTTTCTCTCCAGGATTCGAGTCCTCAGAGTTAAGCTGCCTGTCCAGCACAAGTAGTTTGCCAGCTGGAAGGTTTAAACTAAAAACCCAGATGGAGAGAATCTGACTGAAGGCTTCCTTTATTCTGGGAGAGCAGTTTTTCCTCTGTCCACCCTACACAACATAAAGTCCTGGTGTCTGACCCTGCTGCTCTGGGTCCCTGTACAGTCACTGATGATCATCCTTGAAGGAACCACAGTAGTAATGGTTCCACACTCCTCAGCAGTGCCAGCCAGGATGGAGAGGGCATTCCTGGTTCTTGCTACTAGGGGCAGCAACAGCCCTTGGCTCCACCACCCTACACAAGGGAAGGACAGAATCTGCCCTCCTGGGCTGCCCAGGCGCACAGTCACATGCTCCTGTAGCTGTGGGCACTCCTGGAGAACATTACCCAACTCCCAAACTGGAAGTAACCCAGTGAAGGGTCAGCATATCTAGAACACCAGGCTGAGCCTGTCCTGAGCCCCACATGCCTCTTGCCTACCCTGCAGGAGCATCAGCCCAATGCTAGGTCACCAGCAGGACAAAAGCAGCAGAGGACAAGTCTGTGCAGGCGAGGAGCTTGCGTCTCCTCCACATTGCATCTGGACACAAGCTTGGCTTGAAGCCATTCAGCTATAGTCAAAACACTTGCAGGAGCAAGAAGAGGCTGAAGGGTCAACTCAGCTGTTAGCCAGGTGGGTAAGGCGATGGGACATTGCTCTTCTTCCTCCCAGGCTAAGCAGGGAAAAGCAGAGCCAAGCAGTTAAGTCCTGATGCTCTGGGAACAAAGCCCAGAGCCCCACTGCACTGGCCCCCAGCACTACTATGGGAACAGAGACTGAAACAGGCAGAGCCCTTGGTGACATCAAGCAGGGTAGGTTCTCCTACACAAGTGCTCCAAAACAAGCACCTTCACATGGAATTCAGGCCTAACCTGTACTTAGCTTTCTTTTTGCATTTCTGCCATTTTGGAGGTGGTTATGCTTAGCAGGGGTGGGTGGCCTCAGAAGAAAATCATGCTTTCATGTACTATGATTCCAGTATCAGATGAGCAGAGGTATCCCTATGCCTCCAGCTGTCAGGGAGCACAGCCCCTGCGACAGCAGGCAGCAGTATGCATCACCAGCACCTCCATAGCCTATGGCAAGTGGCTGCACTGCACCCACAGGGTCCCACACCTTTGCTTCAAGGAGGATGTTTCATAGTTATACTTGCTGGCACGTAGCACATCCTCCCCGCAGACACACAAGAAGCTTCTCTGGCAATGGGGACCAACGCCAGACAAAAACTGAGCACTCACCCCAACCCTTCCCTTCCCCCAGCCCAAGAGAAAAGCTGGGCCTGCAGGGTGGGGGAGCAGCAGAGCTCTAATTGCATCCGTGTCTCCCATTTATTCCATACTCAGCAGCTCCACCACTCGCCCTGCAGCCCGTGCAGGGCCTGGAGCAGCAGGAAGAGCTCTGCCAGGAGCAAGGTGCGGAGGCCAGGGGAGAACCAGCAGAGCAGAGACCCGAGGGAAGAAGCACCAGGGGAAGGAGAGAGCGGCTCTCTCTCGGCAGGGGCCAAAGGGAGAGACTCACCTGAGCGTGAAGAGCAGCGGCCGCAGCAGCAGCCGCTGGGTACGTGAAGGCGGCATGGGGGATGGCAGGGGTGAGCTCCGTGGTGTACAGTGGGTAGGGAGCCCATGCTTCTGGGGATGCCGGGATTAGAGCCGCTCCAGTCAGGTCATCTGGACAAAGAGACAAGGGGACAGCCTCAGAGCTGGACCAACTGCCTGCTTTCAGGGACGGGCTCCGCATTTCCCACTCCAAGTTACAACTCTGAGGCTTAAGATGAACACCACCAAAGCGTGCCAAGGCTGCACGGCACAGCACTGCCCCTTCTCGCTTTGCATCTAGAGAGGATTTAAAGCCCTTAGTGGTACCACTCCACCTCCTCAGCACTTCCAGAGTCAGCCAGAAGCCTTAGCAGATGCCTGCTGTTCTCCTGCAACCCCAACCCACTGGCAGATATCAGCCAGAAGACACAGCTCTCCTTCCCACCCTGGCTGTAGGCTCAGCTGCACTGAGCCCTGCCACCAGCATTCCCAGTGCCAGGTACCTCCCAGGCTGGCCCTCAAGCTGCATCCCAGCATACTCACAGGGGTCCCGTGCAATGAAGTGTGCGCCCAGGGCAGGGTGGATATTGGTGGGGTTTGGTGTGGCCATCAGCTTGCTCTTGGCCATCTTTGTGTTGGCTTTAGCAAACTCTAACCGCAAGGTCTGAGGGTTCTCTGGGTCAAAGCGTATGCCCTGTGACAGAAGAAAGCAAAGGAGTCTCTCAGAGAGGTTTCCTGTCCCACTGCACTGCCTGCAGCTATTCGTGTAACTGCCCAACAGCGGAACAAGGGCCATCACCCTGCAGTCACATACCCAGTTTGTCACCTCATGCTTGCATTTCCCTACTTAGCTGACCTAGGACCCACTGCTTCCACGTTAACGGACATAGCTTTGCTTTTTATGTGCAGTTCCCCAGCCAGCAAAGCACTGACAGCTATTGGCAGTAGTCAGGAAATATCCATCTGCTGGAGCTAAGATGCCCTGTCTGCTCTGGAGCTTCCTATCTGTGGTGCTTCTACACCTGTACCAGCCGGGGTTGGATAAGCACACACCTTGAGACTCAAGGCGAGCTCTGCAGCAGATCAGAAGAGCTGCAGATGTATTCTGTTGCTTGTACCAGACAGCTCTGGCCACAGAAGCAGCAGCATGGGAAGGCTGCTTCCCCTACATTGCACCTTCCTGGAGCAGGTTCCATCTGGCAGCAGAGCTCCTAGCAGGTCAGAGGCCAGGACAAGGACTTACCCAGACTAATGGCACCCTTAAATATGACCAGCTCTCCCGCTTGGCTTCTGGGAAATTGCATGACCAGTTAACTACCACATTTGAGGGCACAGCTGGGACTCCTTGGCTCTTCCTACGCTAGGGACAAGCCAAGTATCACTCGTGCTCCAGACCAAGTGACAGCAGTGTGTATGGCCCCCAGCCCTCCCAGTACCTCCAGTACTCACATTTAAGGCATTCTTTGCTGCTTCAGCACCAGCTCGGCTGTCAAAGGTCACAAAACCAACCGGCTACAAGAAACAACACTGATTTCAGTTTGGAAATATCTTTCAGATCCACTACCTACCCTGCCACCCTTTCTATCCCAGATAGCTTACAGCAAGCAGAAGAGGCCAAGCAAAGTTGTATTGAGCCTTCGAAGCAGAGCTTGAAGGGCCTTGGATCGTTAACTCCTGCTCTGTCCTCTCCCAGCACAAAGTTTTCTCATCCCTACATAGCAGGCACTTCTCACCCTGGCAGCCTCTGGCAAAGCTGCTGCTCACCCTCAAGCAGAGCTGCTGCTAGAATAGGACTAGGGACCCCTGGTGCAGGGCTGAAGGACCTGTTCTCATCCAGCACCCATGACCCCCGGCCAGTCTCAGGAAATGAGACATCCAGCATACACTGAGAACTTCCAGCCACCAGGACAGGGACAATGAGCAGAACCCAGCTGCCTACGTGATGCCACACACAGTGAAATGGCATCTGTTCCCAGTTCCCATCAAGCAGAAAAGAGAAATACCCAAACTCTAGGAAAAGGAGGTACCTGCTTCGATGTTAGCTTGATCAGTGACCCTTCATAACCCTAGAGAAGAGAAGAAAGCAAGACAGTGTCAGGTTCTTGAAGGAGCCAAGCTAAAACTTGGCCATGATGCAACAGCTCCAGGAGCTCCTGCAGCACCAAACCCTACACAAGACAGGCTTTGCAGAGGGAGATCTATTAACCCATCTCCAAGGGTGCCAGTTCACTCTTTCCCACCAAAAGAGAAGACAGTCACAAAGCAGAGAAGGCATCTCATCTCAACTAGCCTATTCTGCCTCTCTGGGAAGAAATCCAGCTCTTGGCCAAGCTATTAAAAGATGAGCATCCTGCTCCAGTGGGGAACACAAGGGCTCTTGGGAAGAGGTTCATTTTGATGAGCCACCCATACCCTCTTTCTACACCACGGCTAGATGGAAGCAAGAGCAGGTTGACTCATGTGTACCACATTATTTGATCAGTACGTGTGTCCTAGCCCAGGTACATCGAGCTTACCTAAACGCTTAAAGCCAGCCTCCTCTCAACACATGCTGTTGAGAGAAACACAGGAAGACTTCCAGGACATTTAGGACCGGACCTCCCAGGTTCCCCAAAGCTTTAACAGAAGGCTTAGCTCCTCACTTCATTCTTGCTTCCTGCCACAAGATGCATCCTTTCCACTAAAGACAAAACACGAAGACTTCCTTACCTTGAATGGTCGGAAGAGTAGGTAGAGCTCTCTGGGTTTGATGTCCACAGGAAGGCCACTGACAAACAGTGTCCGTACCTAGGAAAGAGGTCAACGAGGTCTACTGAAAGGAGATATTTAGTACTGCAGGAGGAACACAGAGCACAGTTCAGAAGCAAGGTGCAATGGGATTAGGACATCCTGCACCAATGGTGGCTTTGCAGGCACTAACACTTCCCTGTGTTAGAGCAGCACTGTCCTGGACAAGGTGCAGGCAGGCCTTTTCTACTTCCCACAGTGGGATTTAGACCTTCACAAAAGATTCGGGCTCCAGGAGAAGATCTTGGGTTGAATAGGGTATGGATAGCAGCCCCACAGTCTTTTAACAGACCTCGATGCCAAAGGCTTGAGGTCTGCTAGACGACCGTATGCTGTCAAAAGCACTAAAGGAAAGGTTGACACATCACGGTTCCAGAAGAAACAACCTCAGCTGTCTCCTTCTAGAGATATCAAGTGCTTGATCACTGGATGTCTTACCCCTAGCCCATCCTGGTGCCTCAATTCAGCCACTAAATCAAAAGAAAGCCCTCAACTTCCAGTGCCGCCTCATAACTACACAAGTATCTTTGACTTCAGAAGCCCCAGGAGAATAATTTGGGGTCCAGCCCAGCTCCCTCCCTAGCACTCTTTGGAAGTCACTCTCAAACCACACTACACCAAGTCCAAGGATGCGACTGCTCTTCCAAGCTGTAGAACTCATAAAACAAATCCAAATGCCTTTGTAGAAGCACAAACACAACAGAATATGACTTCAACAGACAGTGGTAGAATGCACATAAATAGCCAGGAATATGGACCAGTGCTAAAGGCTGGGAAGAACGCTGCTGAGCAGCAAGACCATCACAGCCACCTTCTCCCCGCACTGGGAGATGCTGGCTGCCAGCCTATTTCCATAGGAAGCAGAGTGATGAAGCTGCCAAGATTTCCTGTAAGTCAGCATAGAGCTAGAATGGGAAGTTATGTGCTACAGAGGTCACCAAGGCACTAGTCATCATTGAAAAGGACTGGGAGAAAACGAGCTCAGCTTCACCAGGAGTGAGAAGCATGGCAAGACAGAAAAAAAGGCTCTAGAAACAAGATGGAAATCTTTGTTCATTGCTTTCAAGTCACCTGGGCATGCCTCCCATTGAATCAATCCCAAACATGCCTGTGGAACACTGGAAGTAGAGAAGGACAGCACGAACACCCAAATGCCTGCTGGCACCAAATCATACCAGACACATCTAGGAAGGACGCCAAGCAGGACCAGGAGCACAGAGCCCATCTCCTGGCCTACTTCCAGCCTGGAGTTCATACCCCTATCACACTCCCATGGCGTAAGCATTCTGAACCCACACTTGCCTTGCCTGGGCATCTCCCTCAGAAGAAGCGGGCTGCACCTGATGCCTCTTTAAAGCTCTCTTCCCACTCAAGTGAGAAGAAATGCAATGTTTCTGTTGCTTTCCAATAGGGAACGTGTGCTCCCCTCATGTCCCTCTCACATTTCAGAGAGATTTTTCACATCAGCTCAGGGGGTACCTTAAACCCTATAGGATGGGCATAAATCACAAATTCTTGGATGCTCTGCCCCTCATTCCCTTCATGAGGAGGGATCAAGGGCCACCAGCACTCAGCAGGCACCACAGTGGGCTGCTGCCACCCCATTTAGGATGCAGAGCTCTTCTCTAGGCCAGCGTATATGGGATACAACCACTGAGCATCCTTATTCTCTCCTCACATCCTCCCCACCAAGCCCAGCAACTCGTTTGGTGCCACAGCACACCACTCCAGAACCATCTTATGCCCGAGCTGAGCGAGCAGTGGCAGCCAGAAGCCAGCACCTTGACAACTTCAGGCTTCAGCATGGGCTATACGAAGCGGCTGCTGTGCATTCCCAGAAGACACACGGCCATTTCTTGCAGGGAAATGTTGCATGGAGTGCAATGGCACATGTGCCTGAGCCACGTGAAAGCACCATCCCTTTTCAATATTTCAGGATTTGAGTGCGCTCAGGCCCCAGAAATGGATGTTTCTTCCAAGCAGATAGAAATCTGCATCCCTGTTGGGTCTCTAAATGGTCCCGTGATGTGCAGCTCAGTAAGTCCTTGCGACAGGCATGACAGAATGGAGGACATGCCATTGCTTGGGGAGGGAGAAAGTCGGCTACCCAAAGCCCTTACAACAGCCTGATCAGAGCAGTGCAGGTGTCCAGGAAAGCTCTTTGTCAGAGGGAACAAGCCCCTAATGCTGTCCTCATCTGGACAGGAACAGGATACATTATTCCAAAGCTTAAAAGCTCCCCGTGGCCTCCAGGTACAGTTTGTCGCAACACACAGATTGAGAAATGGGGATTCCAGACAACCCACAGCAGCTGGCAAGGATGGGCATCACCCCAAGAAAGCCTGGGCAATCCCCAGTGCCAGCAGCCAGAATCTCCAAACTGTATGTGCCCAAGGATCACGAGAGACTAAGGAAGGTCCTGGCTCAGAAGACCTTGTTAGGGGAGGAGGTGGGACCTTAGGCCAACCTCCTACATACAAAAAGTGCAATTACAGAGGAGAAACAGTAAGGGGTCTGGAAAAGCATCTTCTATTGGGGTAACTTCCACAGGGCTCTCCAAGAACCTTAAACCCTTCAAGAGGCCACCAGGACCTCCACCTTCCTGCCTTCGTCAATTTGCCCCACTTCAATTCTCTGCCACTCAGCATCAGATCCACTTCAACATTCAGCTTCCCCACAGAGGCAGCTAGAAAAGCCACAAGACAAGGAAAAAAAGGTATATAGATGTATGTATTCCCTTCCCTGTCCCAGCCCCCTCTGGGGATGTCCCTGGTGCAAACACCCGGCAGAGATGGAGGAGAGCCATGGAAAACAGGATTTGTGCCAGGACGGACAGGACCGTCTAGGCCATCGCTTGAAGAGGGAGGATCCCAGCATAGCTTCCCACGCAGAAGCAGGGAGGGACAAGGACGAAGCCATTAGTGCTGAGATCCTTAGTGGCTCTGAAGCCTTTCTTACACTGCTGCGCCCCAGAAGAGATATCTGGTGTGAGCACAGCCAGGTTCTCAGCACCAAAGCTTCAGGTCCACATCTCCTGGTCACATTTGTTTCGCATAAGCTTGAAGGGGAGTCTTAAGAACACGCAGATACTGCCCTGCAGCCCAGCAAGGGTCAAGTTATGTCAAAAATGCAAAGGCACAAGCACACATCTCCTGCGAGGCTGCTCTGGGAGGTCTCCAGGCTTTCGTCAAGAGAGACGAAATCTGTCTACTCTGAATCCTCCCACAAGAGAGCAAGGCACAGCCTCCCCTTCTGTAGGACGCAGCTTTGACATCCATTTCCTACTCCCCTGTTCTCACAAAGCTGAGACCCCATAGAGTCAGTCAGGTCCCAAAGGCAGTCCTTGCTCCACACAGCCAGGTTCTCTACCCGTCCCCAAAGGGTCCCACCAGGCCACAGCCCCCACAGCTGCTCCCACAGGAACACATCCCACCGATGCTCTGCTTGGGCACCCCAAAGATCGGAGATCTCGGGATGCAGTCACTTGACACGAGGCTGCTGGAATGCAGCAAGGCTGCAGGCAGCCCCGGGAGCCGGGACTTATAAGGCATGGATGGGAAAGGCGGGGAGCCAAGCGTGCAAAATGTGGCTGCAGAGAAGGAAAGGCTCGGGAATGCCACTGCCGGAGCTAAAAAACCCAATGGGGCCACTCCAGATGGCCTACAGGGCTTTTGCTCCTGTGGTCGGGGCAGGAAGGAGCTCGAGCAAAGGGGGGAGGAGGGCGAGGTAGCAGCAGCTGCCTGGAGCAGCAGGAAGCACATGGGTGCCGATAAGCCCCGGCACAACAGGGCAGCACCCAAGAATAGGACGTGGTTGGGGCAGAGGAAGCTCTGCTAGTTTTTATCCCAGGGGGGAAGCTTCACAGCAGTTGCTCTGGTGGGAGATGAGCTCCCACCTACCATTTCTGCCCTGAGCACAGGATGTGGGTTTGGCTGCAGAACCCTCCCCAGGTATGCCATCCTCTTGGGTCCTCATCTGCATCCAAAGTCATGAGCCAGGCAATGGCAAGCTGAAAGTTTGCAGCAGTTCTCTGCTGTAACACTAGTTACGAGTGTCACTTCAAATCACACCTTTGGGGATGCTGGTAGGATGCCAAGGCAACCGCAAGAGTGAACCACCATTGCATTAGACCAGTTCCTGGCAAGACAGAACTACAGCACAGTGCTACACAGAAAACAGACCCTAACGCCAACTTTAAGCAGCACCAAGTCCTGATTCCCCTCTGCACCACACAGGGCTCTTCCCCACAAGACCCCACGCACACAATACAGCCCAGAGGATAGGGGCAGGGCAGATGCAAGCCCATCATCCTCCCAAGGAGAGCATGGGGAGCCAAGCTCCCAGAACAACAGCTTTGACCCACAAAGGCAAGCTAAGGTCTCACACCTACACCATGCCTCTGTGTTCACAGTGACAGCATCTGCGCCTATAGGGCACGCAGCAGGGGTCAATACCCAGACAGGAAAAGGCTCCTTGCTCCCAGTCAGGGCACAGTGCTCCTGCAGAGAAGGTGCCAAGCACTCTCACACCCTGATAAGGCTTTGAGCTGAAGCCTTTATTTTGGGCACTCAGGGCCAGGACAGGCAGAAGCTCCGTGATCTCACCACTCTATCTTCATGACCCAAAGTCTAACATGGCCAAGACCTACAATCCCAAAAATATCTTCTTGCTCCAAAAGATTTCTCTACCAGATCCAAAGAGTCACACTTGGCTTCATGCAATGCCAATTCCCCTAGCAATGCCAGGAGCTCTCAGAGCTGCATTCCAGATGCTCTAGGAGCATCCTTCCTATTTCGCCCATCTTGGCAAGGAAGCCTTAGATTTGGGCCCTTCAGAGCTTTACCATGCACCACTTAAAACCATTTTCCATTACGGAAAGCTCTGTTCTATAGCTCCTGTGGCTAGCCAAGGAAAGAAACTCAGTTCCGAAGCCACGTCTTGTTTACTAGATCAGCAGGCAGAAGAAATAACAGTTCTCATGTCATGGAGAACAGCTGGAATACTGATGTTCAAAGCAATTCAGATTGCAGTCTAAGAAACGTAGATTTGAATAAGCAAGGAAGGAGAAGGAAGCCATTCCATAGGCTTCCAAGGGCCACCAGGAAACAGACTCCCACATCCCATCCCCCTGGTAAGAGCAGCCCCATTGATAGAGGAAGCCTGGGAACACAGCAGTTCCCAGGACCTTTCCAGTGTCCTCCTGGGGGAGGAAGGTTTAACATCAGGCTTCCAAATCCCAACCAGAGCAGGAGCAACACCTCTGCATCAATGGGACGGAACAACAAGATGCATGGTAAGCAAGCAAGCTCCTTGGGCTGCTGGAGAAAGCAAGGAGAGCTCACAGCACCCAGCAGTGCCCCTCGGGATGGGTGCTGTCGCACAGATCGGCGGCTGCCTGGAAAACTAAACAGAAGATAGCAGAAGTGGGGAGGGATCGGCTTTGGGGAGGTGTCTGGTGAGGAACAGCAGGGGCTGACAGTCGGCCCTGTTTGTTTAACATTCCCATTAGCGACCCAGAGAGGAGTAAGAGGCATTCCTGTGCTCAGCATGTCACCGGGCAGGAAGGGGCTGCGAGATGTGGGGGCTTGAAGATTAGATAAAGGGAAAGGCTCAATTTGGGAGCTTTGCATCGCCATATCTGGGGCACGCAGTGCCCTTCAGGGAAGCAGCAAAGTAGGCTCATGGAGGAAGGTGAAAAGCAGAAAAGGTGTTTACAGCTCCAGGATCTGGTGTTATTCTCTGCGCAGCTTAGAAATATACCCCAGCGCCATACCCCTTCCTGCTTGCATTGGGGTTGAACGGTTCAGTTCAGTAATTAAACGTAATTACTGCTAATGGGGAGTGAATTGACACGCAGCAATGGGAGCTCTGGATGAGAGTTTGAATTTGGGTTGGCTTGGATGTGGCAAAGTCTCCTGAACGTGAGGTCATTCCCGGTCCCCCCACCACCATCAGGATCCTCAGCAGAGAAGCGCAGCTCCCGCTCAGCTGGGTAAAGCAGCCCTGTGGGGGGGTCCTGCAGAGGACCATCACAGAACCCAAGCAGTCAGGATGAGGACATCCCACCAGTCCCAGAATCACCTCCAAGCATCCCCAGCTACCACCACGCAGCACATCTAAGAGGATAGGCTGGGCCATCCCTCTCCCTGCACGCAGTGCAGAGCAGGGGACACTTGTCACTCAGCCAGTCCGGCGCCCCACAGCACAGAGCTTGAGCCCCATTTTCCAGGTAGCGAGCATCACACTGGAGGCGACGCACTCTCCAAACCGCCCAAACACCGCAGCCAGCAGATAATCGGAGCGCACAGCCGCAGCCACGCGCACGCAGCCCACGGAACCCCCCGGTGCCGAGCCTCCCCGCACCCAGAAAACAGCACACGCTGTCCTCCCAGTGCCACCCACCGAGGTGGGACACGTCCCCAGCAGTGCAACATCGCGTCACCTCAGCTTCGCTCAGCACAGCGGAAGGAACACCGCGGCCAACACCTGCGCGCCCATTCCACCCCATTAGCCAGGTCCCCAGGATGGAGGACACGCTGGCCCCGAGGCAGCTGGCGCACAGGGACCAAAGGGCCCCGGTGGGCGGCGGGCAGCCAGCCCGGGCGCCATGTTGCGGCGGTGTGAGCGCACGGCGTGCTGGAGGAGGGCGAGGGGAGGGGGCTGAGCATCTCCTGCTCCCCAGTGCCAGGCGTGGAGGACTGCAGCAAAACGTTGCGTTTTCCTCCAAGATGGAGGAGGGCGGGTGACCCTGCTGCACCACCACCACCCCAAGGGTTGTGGGACGGTTCCGTGGGCCGCTGCACAGGGACGCTCAGGAGCCCTCCCATCATGTGGTCTGTCTCATCATGACCATCTAAAGGATGGGGATAGCGGCTAGGGTGGCACACAGCCCCACCAGCCCCAGCTCGGTTGTTGGTGCAGATGCCATCACTACAGTTTAAATTTGTCCCTGTCACCTATATTGGCATCTGGATGTCAGAGCTTGGTCGCTCCAACTCCAAGGGAATGAGGCCCTTGACCCAGGAGACTACAAGATCACCCAGGGCTCACCACACTGCAGCCAGTAGTCATACTTCCAGCCTTGGATAAAGCCAATACACACTGCGCTGCAGTGCTGGACCCCCGACATCCCAGCCCTCCAGTTCTTACAGCTGGACCTCAGCTCTGCAACCCAAAGATGCATCAGCATCCCAACACCGTTCACTTACACTGTGTCTCCAGTGCTGCAGCCTTCACACCCTTGATCACCTATGCTCTGAAGCCCAGATATCCCAGGTCACAGCTCCTGGGGCTCTAAACCCCAAGGAGCCAAACCCTCAGTGCTCTTCAGCCCCTCTGCCTCGAGTCTCCACTGCTCTGGGTCCCCACTAACAGAGTTCCAGAGCCTCAGAAGTCCCAACTCCCTGGTGCCCCGGTGCCTTGGGTCACCACTCCCACAGCTTCAGAGCCTCAACACCGTGAGCCTTCAATGCTGCAGCTCTCAGGACTCTGGAACCCTCGGGTCCGCAGGGCTCTGCATCCCTGTTCTTAGGGCTCCTGAGCCCTGATGCCGGTGGGTCTTCGGTACTCCCGAGCCCCAACAGCCCCGGTCCCCTGGACGCAGGGTCCTCGGTGCTCCAGGTCCCTGCTCCCGGGACCCCGAAGCCCCGACGTGCAGCACTCCCGGTGCTCCAGCCCCGACGCCCGGCTCTCGGTGCTCCAAAACGTGTTCCCCAACGCGTCCCACGAGCTCCCACCTCCTCCTCGACGTTTCCTCCGCCGTTGGTGTGCTCGGTGTCCTTATTGAGGTTACTCATAGTGGGGGGCCGAGGGGGGTGGTGGTGTGAAGGCGAGTGAAACAGCAGCTCCGAGCGGGGAGCGGGTGCCGTGCGGTGCCGGTGCGCGGTGCGGAGCTGCCCTCCCGGCTCACATGCGGTGTCCCGGGAGGGGGGTTCGGCTCCGCCGTTAAGAACCGGGCGGAGCGGAGCGCAACGAGCCGCAGCTGCGGGGCCCCCGCCGCTCCCGGTGCCGCTCCCGGTGCCGCCGCCGCCGCGCACGGAGCAGCGGGGCCGGGACCCGCCCGCCCCCGCCCCCCCCCGCCCGGAGCCGCCCCCGGGCCGCCCGCCGCCAATCCCGGCCCGGCCCGCCCCCGCGGGGGGGCAGGGGGATGTGGGGTTGGCTTTTATTTTTTTTTAATGCTTGTGGGTTTGGGGGGGGGGGCGTTGTGTGTCCTTTTTTTGTGGTTTTTTTTTTCTTCCTTTCTTCTCTCCCTTTCCACGAAAAACTTTCTCAACTTTGGTGAACTTTCGGGCTTCAACTTTCTTAAAGGGACCGGCGGCCACAGAGCAGGGGGCGATTCCTGTGGGCTCCCTCGAGGGCTCCAGGAACCTCAGGGCTGCAGCCCGGCAGTCCTGCGGCAGCAATGCCGAAACCCCCCGCTGAAAGCTGCACCTCAGCCCTTGGGGCTCAGGATGTGGGCTCCGTTCCAGGGCAGCAGCCCCAAATCCCCCTAAAAGCATCCCTTCATCCCCCAAAACGTTATCCCCATATCCTCCAGAACAGTATCCCTTCATGCCCCGGAATGTTTTCCCCATATCTTTCTGAGCAGCATCCCCATATCCCTCAAAACTGCATCCCTGCATCCTTCAGAGCAGCATCCCCGCAGCCCCCAAGGCAGCAGCCCCTCATTCCCTGGGAGAGCAGCCCTGTGTCCACTTTCTGCCCTTCTCCATGTCCACACGGGTCCGTGGACTGGCCCCATCCCAATGAAATAGGCAGGGGGATCTGAGCTGATATCGTACTCAGTGCTGTCTACCTGCTCAGCCCCAAGGTTGGGTGAGAGAGGGAAAACATCAGTTCTACATTAGCCTCCTGGTCCTGCTGGCACCCCAAGCTGGAAAGGCAATGTGTGCCCCCAGTCCTTCGCTTCCTCCTTCCCAGGCTGAAGTCCCAGATCTCAGCTTCTCCTCATAGGGAAGCTGCTTCTGTCCCTTGATCACCCTGCGGGTCTTTGATGGCCATCAACTCCCTTCCCTCTCCAGGGACTGCCTTTATGGGGATGCTGTGAGTCACACACATCTCCTCCTTGACCCGTCCCCCATGGCCATCTCCCCAACACAACTCCATTCCTTCCTCTTCAGACCACGCTGTCCCAACGGAGCTGAACTTCTCTTCGAAATGGAACTCAGTCCATGAGCAGGACATCAGCTGCAGGTCAGGGATGTTTTGCACACATGAATGTCATGCAGTGAGCGAGGCTGGGTGTGATCACAGCTGGTTCCTTCTCTCACACCTGGGTTTGGTGCCCTACTCAAGCCCTATCCCAATCTGCTTCTCCACCTGCTCATACAGGGAAGAAACTGCCCTGAACTCAGCCACCCCCGCATGACCAAGGAGCTGTGGATCCAGCACCAGCACGAAGGTGGATCCCAAAATTAAGCAAAGCTTGACCATGTCTTCACATGAGGAGGCACAATGTGAGGGGAGCACTGGCATTGCATTACTTTGCTTTCTAGGTTGGGGCTGCAGCAGCTGCAGCTGTGTGTGCACAGCACGGAGGATTTGCACATTGGGTTCTCATACGGATGGTGGCAAGGCAGCTGTTTTTCTAAGGCTGCATAACGAGCTGCTAAGCCAGAGAGCCCAATCCCTGCCAGGTTGTTGTCCTCTGGGAAGGGAAAAAGAAAAAGCACTTTTTAGCTAAGAAACCAAATACCTTGTTTTAAATGTTGTTTTACGGGGGTGGGGGTGGTTTGGTTTTCTGGAGATGTTTCACACCAGGGATACCTCAGCCCTGGCAAACTCAGAGAAGAGCCTCCAGCCTGACCCCAGCACCAGGGCCACAGTGGGACAGGGCTTTCTCCAGCCACCAGCAAAGCAGTATGAGGGCATCAGGAAGACATGGAGCCCACGGCAAGCAGAGGACACAGTGAGGTGGGAGTCAGAGAAGAAACAGGAGAGAACTGTGAAAATGCGATGCCTGCAGAGATTCAGGGTGAGGGCTTTTCGTTGGGTTGTTTTGCAGTCCCTGCTTCCACATGGAAGTGAGTGGCTTTAGCTGCAGCATCTGAGAGGGTGACCCTGGTTCAAACCAAGTTTCTCCATGCAATATGTTTTCATAGAAGCACTCTTCACCCCAAAGCATCTCCCATCCAACAGCGTCCTTCTCTGCACACTGTTTTGTGAGTGAAGGCTGTCAGTGTTCATAACCACTGAGCAGGTCCTGGGAAGTATTTCTTAAGTACCTCAGTGAAAAACAGGTTGCAATCAGCTGAGAAATCAAGGTGAAATGTGATGGAGTTCAGCAAGAAGCACACAGTCCTGCAGCTGGGGAGGAACAACCCCCCCAGCACCGCTGGGGGAAATGGCCGCAGGGGCCTGGGGACACCGAGGTGACTTTGGGCCAGCAGTGTGCCCTTGGGACAAAGTAGTGAGTGGTGTCCTGGGCTGCATTGGGCAGAGCACTGTCAGCAGGTGGAGGTTCTCTCCCCAAACCTTTTTATCCGCGTTCCCATGTCCTGTGTGAGTGCGAACCTGACTTGGCTTGCTGCAAGCACTGACAGCACCCAAAAGGGTCTGCCAGACAAAACACAGAGCCACCTGCCTGCAAGGAGGCAGAGTTTCCTTTGGGGGATCGTAGGGCTGTCGCAGGGGCTGCCTTGCATCCCTGCTAGCCCCAAGCCCATACAGGCTGCACTTTGGAGGAGGTGCTGTACTGTTTTGCTGTTTCTCACTGCTTATCTGGAAGCTGAGCCTTGGCACTTGTCCCAGAGCAGAGAGGACGTTCCCGTGTCATTTCCAAAGTGTTTGAGGGACGGTGATGGGAAAGTGTGCATCCTCCAGGCACAACATGGGTTTTCCTCTGCTCACCGCCAACACCGATTTCTCCTCCTCCCACTCTTGTCTGGGAAGTCTCACATCTCCAAAACCACTGAGCAAGCACTGCTGGAGTCACCAATGGCACTTTACAAGACTTCACATCAGCTCTCAGAGATCTTTCTGGCCAGCAGCTGCAGGACACTTTGGGGTTGAAGTGCTGTTTTCAGTATGGATCAGCATCCAAACATCTGGAGACCCATTATAGCGTTACATGGGCAGGGACCTCCAGAGCCTTCCATCCAACATCTTGCTCACAGTAAGACTGTCACCAGTGATGGATGAGGCCAGTCCTGGCTCGAGAACCCCCAGACATGGAGCCCCACCACCTCTCCAGGTTCCCACCTTCCTGCAGGGAACCCAGCCCAGCCATGCCAAGCCACCATCTGTGGCCACAATCCCACTTTATATCATCTGCCCCTACTGAAGGACACGTAGCTCTGCTATCTTTCTTCTTGTCTAGGAGCTGTAAGTGCTAATGGACTCCTTGGACCTCTGTTTGGCCAAACTAACCCGGCCCAGGTCCTTGGTGACCCTCTTGCAGTTTCTCCACCCCTCGTTCCCATTTCCATCTCACAGCACTCAACCCAGTCTCACAGCCCTTTCCACCTCTCTGTCCCCAGGCAGTGGTGACAAAGCTGAAGAGCAGCTCCAGGCTCTCTGCACAACTTGGTCGAGCACCATGTGGCCACACCACTCCCACAAGTTCTCCACGTCGTAGGTATCGACACACCGATGCGTAAACCTCACATGGGCATTTCACATCTGCAGCTGGGTTTGTGAGAATGCCAGAAGTTCCATTCCTGAGGGCTCTTCAGGTCTGTTAACCCTGAATCTCCTTTCCTAAGCTAGTACTTTAAAAAATTATGTATATGTCATGGTGACACCATTTTGAGATGGAAAAACTGAAGCTCAGAGCACCCAGCATCACGAAGCCAATAAGCAAAAGTGCCTTGCCCCTTTGGAGACCCAAATCCTGTTGCATTCAAGATCGTTGTACATGACACAAAGGCTCCAGAGCAACGGAAGGATGCGCAAAGGCAGCGCTCAGGGTGCTTGGTGTCAGCGAGGTGCAGGTATTGCGCTCCTCTCTGCAGCATCCCCGTGACTCTGGGGCACTGCTAAAGAGGAAAATCAGCACCAAGGGAGGAGGGGAGCTGGATACCAAAAGATGGGATGCAGACAGCTCTAACAGCGCAGGATTTGGGGTGTCCCACAAAGCACAATGGGGAGACACCAGGGCTCGTCTGACATCACATGCCTGCTGCAGCTACTCCGAGCGCTTTCAAACTTTAATTCCTTCCCGCACGTCATCGCCCGTCTTCTCCGGCTCTGCCTTGCCCCACGAGACGTGCTGAAGCTAACTGAGACAGACAGGGGCTCGGAGGTGTGTGCAAATGCTTGCTCAGACGCACCAGATCGCTGCAGAGCGGCTTTTATGGGCATTTCGGAGCGGCTCCTGGCAGCGCTGCCGGAGCAGAGAGCCGGGGCCATTCCCTGCTCGCCGCGCCCCGTGACGTCCCAAAGCAGCCCAGCGGGCTTCGGACCAAAAAGGGGTGAGGAGAGCTCGAGTTTAGGAAATCTGAATAAAAAATGCACCAAACAGAAGTGCCTTCTCGGAGCCAGGAGCACAAATAACGAGCCGCAGGCTTTTCTCTGACGGACTGCAGATGCAGCATGCCTGCAGTCCCCCGTTGCAAAACACCGCATGGCTTTTGCAGTTTATTCACCTAAGAAATTCACCTGGCTTTAGTCTGCCCCAAAGCTCTTCTTTTTCTTTTTTTTTGCCTTGAAGATGAAATACACACACAAAAAAATTGGCGTACTTCCGAGCTTGTGCAGCGCAGTGACAGCACTGCTATCCTGTTAGTTTAATAATGTATTGCCTGCACTGTCATATCAATTATGGGCGAATAAAGCAGCGGGAATCTTTTCTGTGGTTACTTATGAAAGGTCCCAGAGACAGCCCTCCCTGTGCCCAGCCCTGGCACTTGTGCCACTTCCAGCTCATGTGGAGCAGAGGGACAGGACAGGTCTCAAGCTGAGCCACTGGGAGGTGTCACCGTGTCACGCTGTCCTCGTGTGTTGGAGCATGCTGGGTGTCACCATGCTGGGACCTTCGAATGCCAGCATCAGGATCCCTCCATGCCCTTGGGATGGCAGCAGATGGAGCATGTCCCAGCAGCAGGTCCA